AAGGGGCTCTGAGCTCTCCCTGGAGTCTTCCCTTCCCCAGGTGAGCACCCCCAGCTGTCCCAGGCTGGCTCCAGGGCAGAGGGGCTCCAGCTCTGGGAGCATCAGGAGGTCATTTCAGGAGACAAGAGTTTTCCGTGTGAGGGAGTTTCTGACTGCTTCAAAACCTCTCTGCACCCCACCTGTGCACCAGGCAGGGCTCCCAAAATACCTGTAAATCCCAGAGCAGAACGATTGCAGGGACAAAGAGCTGGTTTGTCCCTGGCCTGCCACACAAGAGCTTCTTTCTCTGCTTCATTTGCTTCTTTCCTTTTTTTTTTGTGTTCTGACTGAAGGCTTTGTGTGAGCAGGGTCATACCTGGCTCCTCCTCTCTCTGTGGCCAGGAGCTGAGGTTAYCTGGGGGATTTGGTARTTCCCTGTGTTCTGAARGTTTCTCTCAGCTGTGTTTKGGTGTTTAATGACATCAGAAAATASRGATAATTAACCCCTTCCTCCCCTTTCCACAAGGAAACATGGCCCTACAGCAGGAGAGGGTTAATGCTGCTGTGACTGAGAGGGAAAAGGCAGGAGGAGAAGGGGCAGGGTGAGGCTAGAGGGTCCCAGAAGGACCTTTTTACAAATGGATTTTTGTGTTGGGATCCCAAATTGATGGCAATGAGTGGATGCTGAGTGTATGCTATGGACACTGTCCCAGGGAGCTCTCTGGCCTCCCCCTTCCATAGCTGTGCAGGGGACAGAGTCCAGTTTTAGGGAAAATATGGGATGGTGAAGCCTGGGGGCCTGCGGTGAGCAGCTGAGAGGGGAGCAGTGCAAATACCCCGGTGCGGGTGGGAGATCCCGGCCCTAAGGACGCAGCARAGCCGGGGCACACTGCAAGGACCAAGGACGTGCCGGGAGCCGCTGCCGCTCCTTCCCCTCCCATTCAAAGCGTGCAGCTCCCGCCCCGCTCCTGTCAGAGCCCTCCCCGCTCTGGAATTTGCATGGGAAACAGGAGAGTGTGGCAGGTCCTGCCCGTGCCRCAGCTCCTCACGCTGGGAAACCCTGCTGGGAGGGACAGACGAGGTGGCACCGGGACAGAGGGACAGGCACGGACAAGGCACTGCTGAGCCGCGATGCCCCAAACCTTCTCCTGGGCATGCTGAAGATGTGACCCTGGCAGGGACCAAGAGCATCCCGTGTGTGTGTGTGCCCGCGGGGCTGGCTAGAGGTACACGGGGGGGTGGTCAGGGGTGGCCGGGAGCTGGCCGGGAATGCCCGCGGGGTTGGCCGGAGGTACCCGGGGCTGGCCGGGAGCTGGCCGGAGGTGCCCGYGGGGGTGGCCGGGGCCGGGACGCGTGTCCGTGTTCCCCGTGAATGGGAGSCAGGCGGGGGAAGCGAGGATGTTTTCATTGCTGCCGCTGCTTCCCGGAGCTTTCCTGCCCGCGGGCGGCTCTGGGCGGGGTGGGGAAGGGAAGGGGATGCGAGACTTGGCAGCAGCGCGGCGAGTGGAACTGAGGGCTCGGGACGCTGACAGCCGGGTGAGCCGCCTCCTCCCGCCCTTCTCTCCCCCGCAGGAAGGAAGGAGGTTATTTTTAAACCTGGGGCCCAGGTACGGAGCTTTACCTCAGGCTTTTCCTCGTGTAAAAGAAGATGGGAAGTGATGCAGCATCAGCTGCAGTTCCCACGCTCCCTCCAAAGGGATTTTCTTCCCCCAGCACAGCTCGGCACCTCAGAGCCTGCTCCAGGTACCAGCTGGGGTCAGGGGCTGATCCAGCACGTCCCTGGCCACAGGTGGGCACAGCTCTGGCCACGGCAGCCGCTGGCTGGAGAGGTGGCCCTGGGACTGGGGCACACACGAGTGGCACGCAGGGCTCAGGCAGCTGCACTGGCTGGCCCCACAGTGTTTATCTCCATATTTGGGCTGGCTCTGCGGTGCCCACGCCCCCTCCCCTGTGCCAGCGCGGCATCGTGCCAGCCTGAAACACATCTCAGTGTCAGCTCCGTGCCAGGGCACGCCAGGCCCGGGCAGCTCTGAGCAGCCTTACCTGGGCCCCATCCCCGCTCTCCTGACCCTGAATCACCGCTGGTGACAGTGACAGTGCCAYSCTGCTGMKCRTGGCCAGACCTGCTCCCGCCACCGCCTCTGTGAGGGCAAAGCCAAACTGCTCCAGGAGCACATTCCGGCGGGGCCGGGCATCCCTGCCAGGCTGCAGCCCGAGCTGGCAGCGCCCGCGGGCTCTGAGCAAAGGCAGATGTGGGAGATGCTCCGGGCGGGAGGTGCTGGCAGGGGCACAAAGCCCGGTCTGCAGCGGGCGGCTGGAAAAGTGTCTTTGGATGGGCTCCTGGTGTCCCGGGGCGCCGCGGTTGTCGGAGGCGCAGGGTGCGCGGATCAGCCTCTCTGTCTCGCTGCGCGGCAGCAGCGCAGGAATCGTCCCTGGGCGGGAC